TGTATGCCGTCTGACTCTCAACAACTCTGGGTGGCTTTTGCCCCTTTGCAAATGAAATAAATAGAATACTTTGCAAGGTTGCATAATAGGTGGGCTGTCCCCACCCCACCCCCCAATACCAACTGCTGGTTTTTTTTTTAATGAAATCCATGAGCTAGTGTTTAATGTTGTGCTTCATTTTTTGTCTAAATATAAAAGGCATCCTAACTTTTTGAAATTATTCACAGTAAATTGAACAAAATGTTGTTTCAGAAATGAACATTTTCTAAACATGTCCAGCAAAGATTACAATGGTATGTTCACTGCAGATCTATTTTCCTTCCAGTGTCCTTGAGAGTTACCACAGTGTGAATTGTTGGCAAAGGACTATGACTTACAATTGATGTGCTGGCAGGGATCCACAAGCGTTGTTGATACCTTGCAAAAACCCTGCTCTCTGCTATAATGCACCTATTATTCCATGGCGGCAGCGGTGGAGGAGGAGGAGAGGAGAGATGATGACTTCCCAAACCTGTTTGATTGAAAACATCTGGCCGTTGCCACCTGCACAGTGAACTGGCTCCTCCCTCCCAATTGAAAACATTCCAGTTTGTTTTAAAAACAGATACTTATAGGATTAGAATGTGTTTTTGAAAGGCACAATTTGATTTCCTGCCTAAAATTAGTATTTTCTGTAAATTGAAGTGCTTTATTCTGAAGAAGTCCACGAAGCACAGTAAAAACATACAAATTAAGCTTCTTTTCAGGTAAGGGAAAGACCGCACCCACCCAGACATACTCCACTCTCTCCTCTGAACATGCCCAGAACTGCAACCATTGGAAGAGAATAAAGTCCATATGGACATCTGAATTTTCAATTTCCCCCATGAGGCTGTATCTTGCTCGTGGCACTGTATTTTGGAAAATAGGAAACATCATTCATTAGGAGACTGGTCATAGGTCAATTTTTAAAATTTAATTGGCTTCAAACCTTGTTATATACAAAGCTAATTGGACAATCATTTTATGTACAAAGTATGCAAGCATTTTAAAAAGGTTTAAATTACAAATCTGTAAATCCTACAAAGTGCAATTCTGAAAACATTTCTCACCATGCTGTACAGAAACCAGTTCACTGTTAGCTAATATACATACATACATACAAGCTTAAAATTATTAAACGTTATCATTGGAACATTAATACAAATAGAATATTATTTAACCTTAAAAGCACCAGAAATAAAGAAAAGATATTGCACAAAAGATTGATAAATAGGTTTTAACATTCCTCGATGGCTAGGTGAAATTTAATTATATCAAAACACTTCCATCCAAAATTTGAAGGCATTTTTGGCATTTGAAGTCAAGATTGCACTATTAGAATAATCAGCATTAGATTATCATTTGCCCTTATATACAGAAGGCTTTGTGTTCTTTTTACTTTTAAGTGTGATGTTTTAAGCACATGCAGAGGCACAGGTTAGGTGTAATGCTGAACTTCGTAAAAGAAAATTTGTTTGGTGCCAGCACAATTTCCAAAGCCAGTTCTTAATTAATGGAGGAGAGTCTAAAACCCCTGCCTTTGCAAACCGTGGCACTTTCTTTCTCTCTTCTAGCATCATATCAGGCAAACTTCACGCCTACTAATAAATGCATTTTTGATAGCAAAGTGGTGTTGCAAGCTTTAACAATGGAAATTGTTTCTCTTACAATTCACGAAATTGTTTCTCTACAACACTGAAAACTGCAGACATTTTCCTAAAGTGACTCATACTGCTTTAAGTTAGGCGTAGCAACCTGTGATGGTGAACTTCACTGGCATGTAAATAGTACAAATATTACGAATCCCATAGATGTGCATAGATAGCTATGCAGAAAGATGCCTCTAAACCGTTTGCCACTGGAATTACATGGAGCACTGAGAGGTATTATCTGACAGATCCGAACCTAAGCACAGTTCTGGAAAAACTGAGCAAATACTGAGACTAGGTTGTTCTTTAAAAAAAAAAAGCCTGATTTAAATACGGAGAAATATTAACTTGATGCTTTGTGCAACAGGCACCTTCAATCAGTATCTTCCTTGATCCTGGTTTATAATCTGGATTTCAGGAAACTCCCAGATAACCAACCAATTTTCCTTTCAGAGCGCTTCACTATCTCCTTGATTTCAGTGAGATATATCATAATTCTGTTAGCCTGAGCCAGGGGTAGGCAAGCTTGGCTCTTTTATGACTCATGGACTTCAACTCCCAGAATTCCTGAGCCAGCTGTGCTGGCTCAGGAATTCTGGGAGTTGAAGTCCATGAGTCATAAAAGAGCCAAGCTTGCCTACCCCTGGCCTGAGCCTAAAGCATTCAATGTAGCCTTCAGAAACACAGCTGTTAAATAACTGAGTAAAAATGCTGAACAATTTTTCTTTTTTTGCAAAAGCCCAATCAAAGAAGATAAAACAATATTTGTTCTCTGAGTAACGCAGAGAAAACAATATCAAGCATGACAGCCTCACTTTCCAAAAAGCAAACCTCTGTGCAAAATTTTAAACAAAGCACAACTTTACATTCTTAACGTAGATCTTCCATGCCATCTTTTCACCTTATAGTGTTCCTGCACTTTTTTGATATTCAAATGTATGACACACGGGTAAGAAAACATTAAAAGTGTTCAGAATTCACATACTAAGGTGTTTTTTTCTTCTAAAGACAGCCAAGGTAGCAAGCATCCGTCCATACTAAACTAATTGTCAAAACTATTCTTATAGCCTTACACAAGAAAGCGCCCAGAAACTCTTTCAGGTCAATCTTTTGCATATCTTAAATAAATAAATAATCATAGCGCGTATAGAAAGGACATTTGGTTGTTTTTTCGCTACCTGATTTCAATAAAAGACCATTTTAAAAATGTCGTTACCCTACCCTTTTTGGATATACCCTAACATTTCATTTTTTAAAATTATAAATTATCTCTTAAGAAATCAAAACATTCTGTAGGTTCTGGTAAATAGCTGAGAAATTTCTAGCAAGAGGTTTTTTGAAGCTCATGTAAGAGAGCCTTACATAGAAAATATCCATTATTTTCCTGGAATGGAGGTCTTTGAATTGGCTCACTTGAAATCTTTAAGAACATTTCAAAATATACACATATCAAATATACAATTGCAAAACCATTAATATAATGCCCTAGAATATCCTTTACATGCAGTCCCATATTTAAGTATAGCATTTACATGCTTATAAAGAAAATGGTTCAGTCTGCAACATTGATTAATAATCCTTCAGTTTTAAAATTCTCATAACCCAACTTCACAGCAAAAACATCAAACACTTTGTGATTATCTTTGGTATTGCTAACATTTTCTATTCCAACTTTCTCATACATTTTTTAACATATTTTGAAGCTCAGTCTTGTGTATCCTTTCTTTAGTCTCTTCTATCCAATCTATAAGATTGTTGAAAAAGTCAGGTCATCTTTCAGTAGAGCTCAACCCCTGGTGACTTCATGGATACATCTATATCACTTTCTTGGCAACAATACAGAAACAGCTTGAAGTTCCCTTCTTCTGGGCTGTGCTTTCAACTTTCTCATCTACCTCACAACTCCCACAAGCTCTTCCGTCTATGTACTAAACAGTCCAGATTGCTTAACTTTAAGATTAACCCAAAATCTGTGCTTTTTGCCCACAATTATTTTACACTCAATACTAAAATATAACATTTTTCCATAACATTCTGTATATGTCTCCTTAAATTTTAGTCCCTTAATTTCAATTAGTCTTATCCAAGTAAAAGACTGAAGCTTAGACTGCAGAAGGATATTTAAAAATGTGTATATCTAAGCAGAATAAAAGACAATATAGTCTTTGAAGAAATAATAAAAATAAATGAATTTCGTATCAGTGATAAAGTCTGCAAAATTTCAACCCAAAATTAAAGATTAACTTCATATTTTCTTATGTTTCTCTTGTAGTTCATCAAGTTTTAAGCCTCAAAGGAATCAGGAGAAAGTTATAGATCCACCTCCATAAGTTGTGTATATGGCACACTGGAATATTCATGTAATCTGCTCTTGATAAGCCTGCAATTTTTCTTACAACAGTGAACACAAAATCATAAAAAGGTACTATAACAAAAAGATGCTCTTTGCTTGGGGAATCAGAACATTTTCATTCAAATTCTTTGCAACCAAGGCTAAAATTGCATCATTTTCCCATTACACAATTGCCTATATTTAACATCCAATTTCTTTAAAAAATAAACCCTCATTTAGGATTACAATTCATACTGTGCAAAATAAAACCTGGAGAAATATAGAAAAGATATAAGTTATATTTGTAGCATCTCTCATTTACATTTCCCAGCGTTGAAATAATTCTTACAGTTAAGAAATGTTATTATACCATAACTCTGCAGATGAAGATTTCTTCCCATTACAAAAATGATTGCCATTAACAGCACAGCACCTGTAGCTTTTTCAGATGTGTGAGATGAGAGTCAGTCATGTGCATATTATACACTGGACCTTAAAGAACCAAGCAAAGCTGGTGAGCTACCATCTTCTGACCAAAAGAACCATCTAGTCCTATTGATGGCATCTCCCTCTCCCCATTATTACAAATGTAAAATCAGGCCCAGGAGGACTATCCCAATGTTTTTGTCCATGGAATATATTAATGTTTTAATGCTCAAATTTAATATATAATAGCAGCAAAAAATGGTTTCAGTCACCATTTAATAATGCTGAATCAGATACCTTGAAGGATTACATTTCTGTGCTAAATCCCACCAAATTAAGAACTCATCTGCTGGTCCTCTATTTTTTGTCATTTATGTTCATATATTAACCATTCAACTTTCAACCTATTCAACAGATCTACATTCAGAAAGCTGACTTCTGAGTAGAGCAAGTTGCATTGACAGTCATTCATTTCCCCCCTTAAATAGGTGAATTTAAATAAATTTCATATTCACCATCCAAGAACTAAAAGGGCATTGGAATTTTTTTTTAAATAATTGTTTTGTTTGATTTACATAGTTAAATAATTTAGAGACATTGACCAAGATCCAGAAGACTCCTTTTGTCAAGGAAGGCTTAAAAACTAGGTCTTTAATTCTTTTTTGGCATGACAGCTACTACCTCTCCAGTGGCCAAGGCCACTTTGAACACAAACTGTGAGTTCCATTATGCCAAAACAGCAGCAAGTTAAATGTGTAAAGTTATCCACATTTTACTGATTTTGACATTCGTGTTCAACTGTCAGTAATTACAGGCAAATTTAGTGACTATCAAAATACTTTACATTGCTGATAGTCATTAAATTTACTCCAGTTTGTTGGCTTTCTCATATGTCAATTAAATTTTCAACATTCAGTTTAAAACACACACATATATACATCCATACTTATAATTATCTATCTATCTATCTATCTATCTATCTATCTATCTATCTATCTATCTATCTATCTATCTATCTATCTATCTATCTATCTATCTCTATCATCTACCTAATCTATCTTGCAATGTGTTTAAAAGGACTGAATTAGCTTATTGCTTTTACTTAGCACAACAAAACAATAGATGTTGTATATTAATATGCGTATGTGCCTGTGGAAATTGTGCTGTAGTTGCAACATAACTGAGAAAGTTGGGAGGTATGATTGGAAGATTAAATAAATGTATGAATATCGAGAGATGATAGGAGCAGATATCACATGGAATCTTGAGTATTATATTCAGTTTCTCCAGATGAAATCTGACTGATCCGTTTGCTTGAACCCCACAATTTTCGGGAGAGTTGACCAGCACGCATCTGTTTAAAGTAAGCCAGAGACACAAAAAGGAAGGGGAAAGTGGGATAAGGGGAATAAATTAAATAAAAACTTCAGATGATTCTACAGAAGCGCAGACAGCAAAAGATAGAGCACATATACACAACACAATGGCAATTTATTTCTAAAGTATTTCAGTGTTTGGACAATCCTAGGGAAAACAAAGGGCACAAAGTGGAATTCTATCAAATACATTGTTAAAGGGTCATATTGTCAAGTGACTTTAAAGGGGCATCTTTGAAAATGCCCTAAAAAAGCTTTGTAGGCTGAACAAAACAGAATTTAGATATCAAGATTATGATGCCTTCTGTTGTTATTTGGTTTTAAAATATAAACAGAAAATAACCTCTATAAAACGATCAATTTTGTTTAAGGTTGCAAACTGGACAACCTAACTAGGTAGTCTTCTAAATATGCTTTGCACCAAAATGCAAATGAACACATAATCTTTACACCATAAATTTAGAGGCAAAACACTTCACAATGTTTGAAAAATAACAGCAAAAACAGGGAATGGAAGAAGAAAATTATTATAGTGGGAAACCTATACACATTTACATTAATTTTAATCAGTGCAAACAATTAGTGCTAAATGAAGCAATTTATAATGCAATAAATAAGTAAATAAATAAGAAAGACTCAAAAGTTAGGTCAGCCACCAAATGACCTGGCTGGGTTGTGCAATTAAAGGCATACTAGTTTTGTAGTGTAAACAACACACATCTTTTTGGCAAATAAATAATTTATCTAATCGAGATAATAGTGCAACATTTGACTGTGTCTGACTTTGAATGGAGCAAAGCCTGACTTCAGCTCGACAACTTGAACTGAGAGAGTGAATGGCTTAATTCACCAGTTATAACCTGGATATTCCAGAAATTTGAAAAGGACTTAGTTTCCCAAATGTGACACTTGAGAGACAGCCTGCAAAGATTTTATATTGTCCTCAATAATCAATAAGCATCAGTCATTTCCTGGCTTCTTCTGAAGAGGTTAGTGCAGAGGTTTGCTTGAGTTAAGAAAATACTAGTGGACATCTTTCTGAAATTAGGAGAACCATTTTCACAGACGCCATAATGCAGTATCCCACCAGTTCAAAAAGCCCAGGCTGCCACTGAAGGGCTTTGGTTCACTTGTTCTAAGAAATATTTTGGTGACACCCCTTTTGTGCAGTAGATTAAGGACATGCCCAATAAAAACTGCATAATTGTAGTTGGCATCCAAGTAGTTTGCATTCACTTTGAGGATGAGAAGCACTGCCCTTTGCATAAATCTATTAAGCAACAAAAAGATGGATCCTTAATGGCATTTTTTTTAAATGAAGCATGAATGCAGCTAAGCAAAACCACAATAGTTCCAAAGTAGCTCACTGTTGTTTATTCAGTGCTCTTCTGGAAGCTAATGTCATTCATTGTAAACAGTGGTGACAGGTTAATGTTGAGCATTAAGTATTAAATGGCAGGTAGCATTAAGCAAGTTCAGTCCAGTTAGAAAGCACTATTAGTGCACTTAAGCTAAGTCAATAAAATCTGTAAGTTAGTTCAGCACACCTCCTTTTCCCCATGGGTTCCCCTCTACATTCTTTCTTTTTTTTTTCCAAGCAGAGAAGGACCTGTTAAAGAATCTCTAAGAATGTCTTGGGAATTATTTCTTCCCCTTTGAAAGCTCAAATTTGCTTTGAAGTTTGCCCTGCCACAGAAGCGATCGCTTGCTCAGCCGGAAAGCAGAAATAAATGAGTTTCCCATTGTTCGGTAGATAAAGTTCTTGATGGTAGGTTTTACCTCTGCTGGCTTTCCAACGCCAATGATAATCAACTTGCCATCATCAAGACCCACCAGAATGTGGCTGAACTCTTTGGTAACAGAGACACAGTGAATTGGCAGCCGCATGGCTAAAGGGGAGGAGCTAAGGCTCAGGCTGAAATAAAGAAATAACAAACGTCTATTATTTACAGCAGACCGAAAAGCACTCAATGGGCAGTTTATATTAAAAGATAGAAATTGCTGGCCTCTACCAGCAAGTCTTATGAAGCATTATGTATTGGGTCTCTGACATCTGTGTCTAGGACATGGCCAGTAATGCACAAGAGGACGACAGTATTCTTAAGATTTCCTCAAAGGCACTGACTGGTTGGGACCAAGACTGACACCGCCATTTTTAAACCTTTTCTTCTGGGCCAGTTCAATGCATCAAACTTACTAGTCAATTTCAGCCTAGATTAAACGTCTATAATTTATTAGAATGAATTGATACAAAAAAGATATTAATTTAAGACTCAAATTCAAACGTAAGAACAATTCCAAATCTATAAACAATAAATCTCAAATTAAATTATAGCTCCAAGCATATCCACTGTTCAAACAAAAATATAACTTGTTCCTGTTCCCAATTGGCTGATACAAGGGAGTTTTATTGAAAATCGTATTACTGTTATTGAGTTGGATTCAGATTTGTGCAAGTAAAGCCACTTGTGTAACATCTTCCTGCTCTTGATTGCACTTGCATCTCTTCCCCCGCCAGCCAATTTCCCAGAATTCTCCCCCAAAATGGTGTTTCGGTGTAGTGTGTGTTTGTATGGACTACAGTAGGAAATTTGGAATCGAAAATTATCAACAATTAACCAGAAGTACCCAGCAGAACTAGAGAAGTAGCAACACAATTACCATATTATAACATGAAATAACTAACTTCTGCAGGTACTCCTCAACTTAAACCATTTGTTTACTGACCATTCAAAGTTACAATGGCACTGAAAAAAGTGACTGATGACAGTTTTCCACACGAACAGCGAGAAGCAGCCCTGTGGTCAGGTGATTAAAATTCGGATGCTTGGCAACTGGCATGTATTTATGACAGCTGCAGTGTCCCAAGGTCATGTGTTCATCTTTTGTGACCTTCTGACATATAAAGTCAATGGGGAAACCATATTCACTTAACAAGTATGTTACTCATTTAACTACTGTACAGCAATGATTTACTTAACAACTGTGGCAAGAATGTCATAAGAGGGGGCAAAATTCACTTAACAACTTTGTTGCTCAGCAACAGAAATTTTGGATTCAATTGTGGTCGTAAGTTGAGGACTACTTCACTAGGGCTCTGTCTAAACATTCAAAGTAGAAAGAGAAAAAGGACAAAATAGTTGCGACCAGCAATAAAACACAAATCAGGAAGTTGGCTAAGATTCAGAAGGATTGTTTCCTGATATTCTGAAGCACGATTAGTAGTTAAAGGATTCATAGGAGAGCTCAAATTCCTAAACAGCACATAACTAACTAGCAAGGAATTAATTTGCTTCTTATATTGGATATTGGATTCCTTCCATATAAACAACAGTAGTTGGTGGAGGAGGATCACAGACTGTAAACTGAGAGCTGCTGATTGATCCTAGGCCCCCACGGACTGAAGTTGTTAACATTACAAATCATTGGCTTTCCTTTTCAAGCTCCCCCTTACCTGTAGAGATCTCTTATGGAGAGAAATCCCTGTAGACTCCCTATTACAATATATTCTCCAGTCACACAAAGATCCGACACTTCTTCCTTCAGGCTCTCAGAGCCCAAATACTTCCCATTCACAGAGTAGAGATGCAATGCATTCTTATCCTGGGCAGAAAACAAAAAAAAAACACAATAAAAGAGAGGAGAAAGCCTTGAGCAACAACATTCTCCCATAGAAATTTTATAATTCTGTAGCAGTATTGTTTGTAGCACCATTATAAAAAGAACATGGTATGGCATGTAATCTCCACATAATGTTCAGGGTTTACATACACAAGTGTGGGATCCTGATTAGGAACCCATGTAGGTTATTAAACCTGATCTGCATGATTTCAAATTTCAAATTTCAAGTTAGGGGTTGCTATATAATTTCAGATCCCATGGAAATTAAAGTCTTATATGAGAATACAAAATCTTACAAAATGTGGTGACTTTGTGAAATTCTCTCCGTTTTCTAAATTGGAGAGTATGAATGTGTTTTTAGTCTGCAGAGGAGATGCAAATAAAAGGATGCCAATGTTTGCAGAAAAGTGAATGTTGCAAAATATAATATCAGTTGCAGAACTGATCACATTCAAGAAAGAGACTCTACAACTTGGCAACTGGGCTCCACCTCTAAATTCTCAAGCAGCATCTTGTCATTTGGGAAAACAGAAAGCCACAATTTCTCCAACATTGCTAAGGATGCATATCTAGAAGCAAAATGACAACCATGGAACTCAAAATGGTCTTTTTCCAATTAAATTATAAATACATGATGGCATTTGGTCTTGAACTTTATCCTATAACCAATTTTGCAAAGGATCATTGCTAGCAAGGTAATTAAAGCTAAGCATTAATAATAATGTTATTCTCCAGGCTAGTAGGCCAGAGGACTCTTTTTGTTTCATATCAAATAAAACCAAATTGAAACATTTAAGAGGCAACATTTAGTCAGCCAAAAATAGGTAATTCTGTTACTTAATATTGAGTTTAAACTAACAAGGATACTAAACCCTTGCTTGGGAAAATGAGCTGTAGAAATTTCCCTCCAGCAGCCACACAATCCTGGAAACAGCTTTGGCTGCTTCAATGAATCTCAGACCAATGTTACTTTGGTCATTTCTCTGTGTTGCAAAGCCTTTCCTTCCAAACAAATCGCACAGCCTTACACTACAGAGGCAGGAGACACAATCAAGAATGAATTCCAATACTTTATCCATACTAATTCACGTACAGGCAAAAGCTGTCAAGTCTATTTAACTGAATTCACACATTAAGGGGCTTTCCCATATGATCTCTTTGCCCATTTTTCTGAACAACAAAACATGAATCTATGGTTTATGCAAACATAAATATACACCTATGGGCCCCAGATTATATATTTGTATGTATCTAGACATACATGTATACGTACCATTCCATGGTGTGATGGAGGGAGGGACTAGCCTTGAGAATGCTGAATGACAATAACAAGCCTCCATTGCTACTCCAATCACATAGTTAATTTAACCCCACCTCTAGAAACAAAACCAATGCAGCCCCTGTGTACTTGGCTGTCTTAATACCTTGAGAGTTGTCTTTCCTTCTATGCTGGTATGAACGATTAAGTGTCCTTCCCAAGATACAGCCAGATTAGGAACAGTGATCAAGAGAGAACTCTCACAGGGTGGCCTCAGAGTCCTCATATATTGGCCCTTCCGAATGGTGTGCACAATCACAGTTCCATCCTATTAAAACCAAACGGAGATCTTTCAAAACTGAAAGAATGTGAGAACCAATTCATAGTACAGCAATACTAGCCTCTGTGCTTTTAATACAACAGTCAGCATGTCCAGAATGACACACAGAAGAGATCCACCCAGACAGAGTGTTTTCAATGGATTATTAACCTGTCAACCTGTTTTCCAAAGCGCCTGAAGGCAGGACAAGAAGCAATGGATGGAAACTAATCAAGGAGAGAAGCAACCTAGAACTAAGGAGAAATTTCCTGACAGTGAGAACAATTAACCAGTGGAACTGCTTGCCTCCAGAAACTGGGGGTTTTTCAAGAAGAGATTGGACAGCCATTTGAATGGGATGGTATAAGGTCTCCTGCCTTGGGCAGAGGGTTGGACTAGAAGACCTCCAAGGTCCCTTCCAACTATTAACCCTATCAATGGTGGTCATATCCTATCTAAGAAATGTTTTAGGAGGCAAATAAGACTTTTAACAGCAAATATTTATAATAGCACTCTGTATCAATGACTTTTAAATAATGCAGTTCCTCTCAGCCTCCAATGTTCATTATGCATCCACAATGTCATTTTAAAAACATTCTATACATTTTGTTGTATGCATTCCATTCTTTCTGCAGACGACATGAAGGAAGAATGTTTTGGAAATACATTTAAAAACAGAAGAAACTTTCTTAAGAACCAAACTCCAAAACATTTGCCAGCAAACTATCATGCATTTATTTTGCCTGGAAGCAGATGTTCAAAAAAAGGGAAATACTTCCAAAGAAGCAGGCATAGCTTTGCAGGCATCATTTACCACAAGAGAACAACTTAGAAATGTAAATGGCCTGGCAAGAATGAATTGCATATTCAAGGTTCACTTGAGACTGATGAGGTACTTTAAGCCGGAGAAGCAGTTCTTATTTTGAATGAAGACTGAGGAAACAACAAGCAAGCATACCCTGGCACCTGAGACTGCCATGTCCAGTTCTGTACTGATGCCAACTGAAGACACTTCATTGGTATGTCCATAGAGAATCTGCAAAGGTTTAGGAGCCAGACCTATTGGCACTCCTCCCTGCAATTAAATATTGAAAAGAAGCACGATTATATTAAAAGACAAGATGTTTTCAAAGCAGCAAATCTGCCCAAAGCCTGACATCATTTCGTTCTAAACTTTCTACCTTAAGGAAGCATAATGCTTCTTAATACAGCTCATAATTGGCAATAAAATGGCAGCTAGCAGGTGCTGAGCTGCCATTTTATTGGTCACTATGAAAAAAACAAACCTGGATCTTCTGAAAATGCTGCCAAAATAAATAAACAAAACAGATAAAACAGGAGGAAAACATATCAATTCAATTTATTCTTAAGAGTCACAAGCAAAACTTTAGCTCAAAAAACCAGAAGAGAGAACCTAATCTCAGGATATATAAAAGAATAAAAAAAAATCTTCACTAGTGCCTCAGAACTAACCTATATAGCAATAGTTCTATTTTGCCACATTTACAGTAAAGAAAGCACTAAACAGTCAACAAAGGATTGGTACTTTTAAATACACAGTACTATTTTCCAAGGAGTTACAGTCAATCAGTACAAGAACAACTTTTTTATAAATTTATTTATATTGATTTATTTAAAAGACTTGTATGGCTACCCATCACAATTCTGGGTAGCACAAAATCATAATGAAACCAAACAAAATGAACAGTCCAAAACAAATCCTCTCCAACCCATTAGCAATACAAACAGCATCGTTGGACTCCAGTCTTACCTTATCCCAGTGCTTTTGACATGTTCATGTAAGTTTTCATGCACTAATACTTCTTCTATCAGATGTGCCACAATGTAACCCTCAGAACTATCTAAGCCTTATACAAATTCCCAACTGTATGAGATTCAAGTAACTCTTTTATACTTTATAACAGTGGTGGCGAATCTATGGCATGTGTGCCAGAGGCGGCACTCAGACCATGCCCTGGAGATGGCAACTGTCCCTCTTCAACCAGCTGCCTGCTAACTTGCCGAGGTCCCACATGGCTGGATATAGCCCAGCACCCATGCGCTCACTGGCCTCTGTGTGCAGGGGCCGATGGTGTCAGGCAGCAGCCGCCCCGGCCCCTGCCTCACCTTGCCCTGTGACAATAGCACCCCACCCTATCTCACCTTGCCTCGCCTCACCCTGCAGGACAAGCCTCCTGCCCACCACCCCACCTGCCAGAAACCCTCTGGATCTCCCCCAACCCTGCCCCACCCCCATAGGCGTCCCTCCCCACGAGCAACATTGAGGTGATCACGCCCACCTTGGCCACACCCACCTAATCTGCCATGACCACCACAACCACGTCCACCCAGTGGGCCACGCCCACCTGGCACCCGGCGATAAATAAGTGGATTTTGGGTTGCAGTTTGGGTACTCGGTCTCTAAAAGGTTCGCCATCACTGCTTTATAACATTTGAATGAATGTACAATACCTCACTTTCTGATTTTTCTGCCCCATTTGTAAGTTAATGCAATCAGAGAACACGGCATCCCACAGCACAAATGGCTTGCAGAATTCCACAAAAGCCAACTCACCTGTTGAACTATTTGCCATACCATGCAAGTGGTGTCTCTTGAGCCTGAAATTAAATGGATCCCACAGAAATCCATTGCTAAGCATGTCACAATGTCTACAAACACAAACAAACAGAGGAAGACTCAATTCATAGGAACTGAAATAATCAGATAAAAAAGTGACAGTTTAAACATAGATGTGCTGGCTTTGGCCAAAATGAAACAATTATTCTAAATTGCAAAATGAATGTATATAAATTAGAAAACATTGTATGTATTGTGTGGAACATCTAATTATATTAATTAAGGTTCCTAAAGAGAATATTTCTGCTCCTGGGAAAAAGAGGCATTATACATAAAAGGTTATCTAAAAATATTTTTTTCCTCCATCAGATATTGTCATTCAAGAGCCAGCTCTCATAGGATACCGACGTGGAGCCAGTAAAGGCTCACCAGAGCCCTTCATGCACAGTTACTTACCTTCTTTCAAGCTAAATTCTACTCATTTCTATGGGGTTTGTCAGGAAGGAGACATTTTAAATGGATCAAATCCAACATGATTAATGCTATTTCCAGAAGTACTAATCTGTGGTAGCAAAAAACAAAGGAGGAGCCTTGTTTGCCCCAAGCTATGGAAGATAAAAAATAGAAACTCTAGTGTGAGAGGAAGAATATCAGATTAAATGGTGGTCTTTTTAGCCTATCTATAGAATTCCCAAAAGTTCTAATGGGTCCTTGTGGACAGAAAGTGGAATGGAAGAGGCTTCTGAGCCAATGCAATCTAATATTTAGATTAGACTTTAGACTAGGCCTAGAGTGACATTACTTTAAAACTTCACTTGGTCCTTGAAAGTCAAAAGTAGACTTTGGTCTAATCACTATTCTCAACCTATTGAGGAAAAAATGACAAAACAAGCTACAATTATCATCTTGAAAACCTGGAAGGTAACCTCTCACCTTCTTACTAAAGATAATGCTAATCAGCAAAGCAGTAATAAAAATATTGTTATCTACAATATGTTTATGATTTCCTGAGATGCAATAAGCAGAAACATCTACCAAATGGTCTCTGTATTTTACAGATTCCCAACATCATGGATTTTCTTTATTTATCACAATGGAAGAATACAGTGCATTTGTATCTATTCTCTGTATCCAGAATTAAGAAAGAAGGTGCCACTCCTGTTTGTAGTTTAAGCATTATTTTTGATCTATTAAATGGAGCATTCTGGAGAATGGCAGCAGGTACCTATAGAAGTATCCTCACTTGGCAACCCTTGGAGGTACATTAGGTCAGGAAACCAAGATTTACAAGTATGACTGGTACTATTGTGTTTTCCTGAAAATAAGACCTGGTCTTATATTTTTTTTTGCCTCCAAAAGAGGCACTAGGTCTTATTTTCAGGGGATGCCTTATTCTTAGGACCGCTGCAGCCAGGCCTCCCATGCGCTGACACCTGTTGTGCTGCTGCTTGATTTCTTCAGTGGCCGCTTACCGCCACTTGCAGCCAGACACCATGTGGCACATTGCGTCAGTGCCACTGCTCGTGGCAGGAGGCCACATGGTGCTTCACGCCGGCGCTGCTACTCGCGGGAGGATGTCGCACATCCTCCCACAAGCGGCTGCACCGGCATGAAACACCATGCAGCATCCTGCCGTGAGTGGCGGCAACAGCCCAAAGTGCTGCATGGCCTGCTGCGAGTGGTGGCAGGGGCATGAAGCACCAGGCAGCCTCCTGCTGCGAGCAGCGACAATGGCCCAAAGTGCTGTGCAGATTCCTGCCACGAGTGGCGCCACTAGCATAATGAGCCATGCGGCGCAACAAGTGTCAGGGCGTGGGAGGTATGGTTGCAGCGGTCCTACCAGTAAGGTAAGTGGGTGTGGGGTATATGGGGCAACTCCACCCCCCCACCCCCAGCCTAGCTTGATTTTTAGGCATGTGCCTTGCCCCATCTATTTTGTGGCAGCTATTTTGTGACAGCATCTCAACATTCTATAGAGGCCCATTGTCTAATTCACTCAAAAATAAAATAAAATAAAATAATAAAATTAAAATAAAATAAAATAAAATATAAAATAAAATAAAATAAAATAAAATAAAATAATAAAATAAAATAAAATAAAATAAAATAAAATAAAATAATAAAATAAAATAAAATAATAAAATAAATAAAATAAAATAAAATAATAAAATAAAATAAAATAAAATAAAATAAAATATAATATAATAAAATAATAAAATAATAAAATAAAATAAATAAAATCCCTTACCCATATGCCGAATAAGCTGGGCCATCACTTTCCCCTTGGTGAGAGATGTTACACGAATGCTATTGTCCCAATGCCCTCCACTGAAAAGCAACTTTGCATCATGGGACATCACAAATAACTTTGAGGTAATTTCCAATCCTGGTGCAAAAGGACCACTGATGTTCCGTTGTGTTCTGGAAACAAATACTTAAATTAGATCTACATTGTCCATTTATTAAAATGTATTGTTGCCCAAAATCATGAAGCAAGTTTCAGTACAAATAAAAGTGCAATATAATAAGTGCAACGATATAAGCATTTACCAAAGTGAGAATAAAGCACAAGTTTCAACTTCCAGCATAACAAATTCTATTTTCTTCCAGAGTATCCTGCTTAATCACATAATGACTGATTGTGGTATACTATTATAACCAAACTCCCAATTCTTATCAGTAACTGTACAGGTTTCTGACATCTGAAGTGCGGATTTAACATTTTATCATCCATACTCTTGATCTTGCATTACAGAAATCTCCAGGCTCATATCTGAGCTTTCTTCAATCAGGATATATCTATCCTTGGGAAAATGTCTAGAGGACAGTATAAAGCTGATTAAATAGCAAGAGGACATGAATTCAATGAGCCAGTTTACTAAGCCAAAATTAACCATGAGCCCATGGACTCCTTCATCAACATTCTCATCCTTCAGCAAAGTCTGCTGATTTCTTCAGATAATTTCCCACAGTATCCAGTTCTGAGCAGAAGCTTTCATCACCTAACCAAAAGCCTACTTTGCAGTTCAAAATAGACAATACATGCTGAATGTATGTGTGCGTACATACAAATTTCTGCATGTATGCCTATATGTAGCTTGATTCAGATAGACATATTTGTACCTTCCTCTGGATAAACAGATTAAAGACACAATGAAGAACTATGAAAATGTTCTTTCTCTCTACTGCATATCCCCAATGAAGGATCACATCAATACATTTTATAAAGTGGGCTCTATTTTGTTAAATGCATGCCAAAATATGTCCCAGAAAATTATGTTTTTTACTCACTTGGGATTTGTCACTGTTTGATCCTTAAGGAAAGTGAAATAATTGGAAATATTTCGGTCATAAGATAGCCATCCATGAGTCCCAATAATAAAGTTGAGATTTACTGTTACCTTCAGAAAAGAGTGTTTAAATTTTAAAAAATGAGATATAAATTTCACTCACATCAATTATAAATACAATTTGTCTTTCCTCCCTGCCTTTACATCCGGCTGTTCTTTTATGAATCTTTGAATTATAGTTCCGAAGGTGAAGATCTATTGATTTTTATGTGTTTATTGCATTAAGATACTGCATCTACTCAGAAAACACTAAAACACAACAATAATCACACCAACCATGATCACAGATACCTTAACACACATTATAACATAATAAACTTTCCACCTTTGGACAGAAACAATTTAAAGACTAATAACAAATTAACAACAGGCAACAAGTTAACAATTAATAACCAGTCATTTTGATAACTTCACATCAGACCTTCTTCCAGCATTTTTGCAAACGTCACTCACCAAAAGTTCTGGACTTCCCTGTGACATGAAAGATCGGTACTGGTTCCTGGGAACAATGGCCTTAACAATAGGGATTCCATCACTGATTCCCTAAGGGGAAAACAGATGCTGGTTGGTGATGATAAGTAGAACAAATCAATCTGATGTGGCACATGCATGTAGATGATGTTCAAATCTACAGCCAATAGGGATGCTAATATTAAATGGAGTATCTAGAATAAGTGTTTCTAATTCTGAAGTGTGATAGCAGAAGGAACTCCCGGATCTCAATCATTTGCCCAAGTTTTGCTGGAACAGGCAGACACGGAATTATGCTGAAGACTGAAGGTTCATTGTGCCTGCCTCTTAAATAAGAAGGAAAATGTGCAACTATTTGTATAATGATTGCTTTTACATTGCTACCTTTTTCTTCTCTCAATTGCCATATTTATCAATATCCTACAATATTTGTATAATCCAAATGTGTGTGAAATAAATCATATAAAGAAATAAAGAATGAACAGGAGGGTAAAAAAATCAGAGTATCTCTGAAGACAATGAGGAACAGGAGATGGGACACTTTTCTAATTACATTAGGTGTTTTCATAATTACATTAAATGTTCTTTGTTACCTTAGAACTGTTTTTTAGAAAAAAGGCAATGCAATTATTATCTTCTGAAACCTACTCATCTAAATCAGTATGAATATGGCTGTACTGCAAAATGGTACAGTATCCTCTTCTCAAATTCATCTTTGACTGTTGTACAGCACAACTGATCATCTCAGTTTATTAGTAACAAAGACAAACTGTTGGAATGTTCAGAAACATGCTTAGAAATAACCTATCAATAAGAACAGCAGTAGTAATTCCCAAAGTACCAACAGTTTTGGCTTCAATGAAAGTAGACCAGCTTTGAAGTGAATGGGCATCTTCTAGAGAATAAGTTGTAATGAGGTCCACATAAGATTGTAGAGAGGTTGATTTTAAGCATACCCAGAAATGTGATCCTGGACATTTTATGATCTGCGGGGAAAATGTAATCCTCCTATCCAATCATTGCTAAGTAGCTGTAAAAATGTCCTGGGATCCTCATGCAATTATGGCTTGTGCTATGACTGACAAAAAAAACCCTCCATCACCACAAAAAACATATTTAAAAATATTAAGAATATTTTCTTGTGGCTTAACACTTTGTCTGGAAGCCCTCATCCACATAATATAGCTACAGCAGAATTTTAAAAGAAAGAAAAGAGAGCCATTCACAGCATCAAGCTTTGTTACCATGGCACAGTGGTTAGAATACAGTATTGTAGGCTAATTCTGCACACTGCCAGCAGTTCGATTCTCACCGGCTCAAGGTTGACTCAATGTTCCATCCTTCCAAGGTTGGTAAAATGAGGACCCAGATTGTTGGGGGCAATATGCTGACTCTGTAAACTGCTTAGAGAGGGCTGTAAAGCACTGTGAAGCAGTATATAAATCTAAGTGCTATTGCTATTGGTATTACTATCCTCTGAGTGCCTTTGACTTCCCTGCTTTGCTTTCTTTAGTCAGATTTAAACAATGTTAAAGAGTGCTGTAGGTTTTTTGCATGTCCAGAAACTAAAAAAACTGTACAGATCTGTTTCTACTATCATTGTAGAAAATGTGTAATGCACTGTCTTCCATCTCTATAACCATCAAGCTTTTTGGACCTAGAATCCATTTTTAGTTCACCCAATCATGTGGGAAATTATTATTTTTATTTTCAAACACCCTAGAGGTTGTTGTTTTTTTTATAAATAATGTGGAACATTATCAGTTGCAACCTGATAACAAATATATTTACCTCAATGAAGAAGGATTTTAGTTCAGGGAGATGCTGGAACAGATTGAGGGTGGAGTTTTCATTTTTGGTCTGCTTCTGCAACACTTCCTCCACAGATAATCTTGCTGGGTGGGGCTCCTGGAATAAGTCCACAATGTACTTACACAATGATTCTTCAACAGATTATTGAAATAAGAGGAATAAAGAGAATGTGACTGTAAGGTATGACAGGGAGGTGTGGCGAGGCCTGAGGGGAAACCTCTGAAGCATGAGAACCATCACAACATGGTCAAAGGCAGGCTACTCATGTGGAGATGGTACCTGGGACTCTTAGTACTTCCAAAGGATTTACCTTCAATAGCTGGCAAGGTGTTTGTCCAAAGTTGTTAATCATCCCTTCTAAGGCTTTTCTTTCTTTCTCATCAGTTAAGGCATCCAGGTCTACAGCTCCTGCAATGATAGTCAAATGTGAAACAAAATAAAGAAAATAATAATCCATATGCTTTTCTGTACATGGTTTCACAAGTATGTATTACTTAATATTTCATCACCTGAAGTTGTTACGGAGAGGAGTATACTTGCCTCCTCCCTTGCAGTTATTGTAATGTTTCTCCATGTAAATGTACTGTATCCTCTCTTTCTATCTGGTGTCCTTCAGATCTACTCAAGATTATAAACTCCAAAATGCATCAGGAAAAGGAAAACCAAATTCTGGTAGTGAAAGAGCAGATTTCATGAGGGCCTAAATGCTAATTATGGCCAAGGTCTGTGACGAATCTGCCCTATCCATTTGGATACAACATGAAGAACTAGAATAAACCTAGTTTAGTATGATGAAAATGACTGACCCTTGGACCCGTGTGATCTCATTTGCTCCAGCATGATTTATAAAGCATTTTTTTTCATTTTTTAAAAATTATTCAGCCCTAAGAAATTCTGGTTATTCTTCAACTCTGATTAGTGGATAGAAAGCAACTTCATACCAGTTTAGATGACATGCTAAACTGTGACTAAATAAAAACAGAAGCTTCCAATTTCCCCATATTCATAATGGAGTAGAAGAAAAGTATTTAAGTAGTTCGAGGTGTATTTGCAGATTTGATGTTACACACAGACCACCTCCCAAAGAAGGTATTCAATTTCTGCTGTGAAGAATAATTTTATCACGAGAGAGACAGACTTTTAAAAGTTGATGAATTTTAACCTTAGAATTTCTGTGGCAATCAATGGAGTCTAATAGCACCCTTTTCTGACTAAAAGATGTCATTAATAAACATAAATTTTCATGAGCTGGATTTAATGTTATCAGATGCCTAGAAACTTCATGTAGTCCCAGGGGTCCCCAACTCCTGGTCCATGGACCAGTATCAGGCCGTGGCATGCCAGCAACCGGTCCGCACAAACAAGCAAAGCCCCCTCCATGGGATGCAGGCAGCACACAAAACCACGCCCCCTCCGGTCCATGGAAAAACCTCTCTTCATGGAACCGGTCCCTGGTGCCCAAAAGGTTGGGGACCTCTGGTCTAGCCACTCTATGAATCTGACAATGCTCATGTCTGTTAATATAATTTGCTAGTCAGAAAAGGTGCTACTAGACTCTTCCTGACTTTTTTGCCACCCTAGACTCAACACTCTCCTCCTGCAGTATCCAGTAAGAACTGACTGAGTGGAACATTCTGAAGGAGGATTAAGGAGAACATTTCAAATAAAAACTTTTATCACATCAATGTTGACACTTAAAGTCAACTCATGAAAACTTAAACGATCCATATATACGATGTAGGTAAAATGAAGCACTTGATTCATGGTGCTAGTGAAATGGTGATGTCATGGACATGCCCATAAAACTATACAAAAATTGTTTGCCAGGATGTATTTTCAACTCTAATTTAGTTTACAATTCTGGGATTTTGTAATTGTCTTCCATCCAAATCCAGGTAGTCCTCAACTTTCAACAGTTTGCCTAGTGACTGTTCGAAGTTACAACAGCATTGAAAAAAGTGACTTATAACCATTTTTCATACTTATGACCATTGTAGCATTACCATGGTCACATGGTTTACATTCGGATGCTTGACAACTGACTCACATTTATGACAGCTGAAGTGTCCCGGGGTCA